GCGTGAACCCACTTTTAAAGAAACCTGGTTTAGATCCCTCCCTCCCACATAAATTTAGACCAATTTCAAAACTGCCTTTTATTGCAAAGATTCTAGAAAGAATTGTGTCCAAACAGCTGCTCACTGTACTGGAAAATAACAAAATATTTGAAAAGTTTCAGTCTGGTTTTAGGAAGTACCACAGCACTGAGACTGCCCTGCTTAAAGTCACCAATGACCTTTTAATGTCTGCTGATGAAGGCATGTGCTCAGTCCTGGTACTCCTGGACTTTAGCGCTGCTTTTGACACCATTGATCACAACATCATGTTAGACAGACTGAGGCGCTGGGTGGGGATCTCTGGTACTGCCCTAGAATGGTTTTCATCCTACCTGTCAAATAGGAAGTTTTGCATGTCTGTAAACATGTCTCCTCATTCTGTCCAGTTAAATATGGTGTGCCTCAGGGGTCGGTCTTAGGACCCATTTTGTTTTCCTTGTATCTGCTTCCCCTTGGACATATTATCCATAAACATGGCATTTCTTTTCATATTTATGCTGATGACACACAAATGTACTTGCCTGTCAGATCCACAGACCCTGGAATGCTGAGTTCACTTACTGACTGCCTTTGTGAAGTTAAAAAATGGATGTGAAATAATTTCCTCCAGCTGAACTCAGACAAAACAGAAATCCTGGTCATCGGGTCCCAGCAGATGGCAAATCAAATACTGCCATCTGCTGGTTCCCTAGTAAATCACATTAAGCCTGTGGCAAAGAAACTTGGTGTTTGGTTTGATAGTAATTTAAATTTCGAGCACCACACCACAAAGCTTGTTCAATCATGTTTTTATCAACTTAGAAATATAGCAAAAATTCGATCTATGTTAACTTTTAAGGACACCGAGACCATTTTACACGCCTTCATCTCATCACGCTTGGATTATTGCAACAGCCTTTTCACCTGTTTAACCCAAAAATCTATTGATCGACTCCAGACTGTCCAGAACTCAGCTGCCAGGCTTTTAACCAGAACGAAGAAATATGACCACATTACTCCTATTTTAGCTTCATTACACTGGCTCCCAGTATGTTTTAGAATTGACTTTAAAATTCTATTGATCACTTTTAAAGCTCTTCATGGCCTCTCGCCTTGTTATATTTCTGACCTTTCAGTCTCGACTGAAAGCTAAAGGGGACAGAGCGTTAGCTGTCAGGACCCCGAGGCTCTGGAACAGCCTGCCCGAGGAAATCAGGTCGGCTGAGTCAGTGAACTCTTTTAAGTCCCTTCTTAAAACATACTTTTATAAGAGAGCCTTTCCCGATCTTATTTGACTTTATTTTATCCCTTTTATTTTATTGTATTTTACTAATTTTATATTTAACTGTATTTTAGTCTTTTCAATGTTTTCATGCTTTTATCTTGTATTGTTTTTTGTATTATTGTCTCTTGGGTATTATTGTCTTTACACTTGTTAAAGCACTTTGTAACTTGTTTTTGAAAAGTGCTCTACAAATAAGGATTACTATTATTATTATTATTATTATTATTATTATTATTATTTATGTAACATGTACAGATGGGCTGCGAAAACCAGTTGAAAGTGCTGATGTGGGGCCTTCATACAATATTTTATTCATGTCTATAGACCATACATTGTTTCTGAATATGAATACGGTGATTTACAGATTTACAGACTGAAAGAAAAAAGCAGTTTGAGTTAGGATTACCACTTTACATGTAAATACACTGCATTATAGTTTTCTACGTTGTGTTTTCTGCCTTTTTTGGGAAATTATTGGGAAAGACTCTTTTTCAACTTTCCATACAACCTTGAACTGTAGCTTTATGCTTTGTTAAATTGACATAATGATATAATCAGACAATTCTGAGTTTGTGCTGAAAAAAGGATACCGTACATGTGGGGTAGCGATGCTTCAAAAGGTGCTAAACAATGACATAAAAGGTAGGTAGGTCTATAGGTAGGTAGGTTTATTGTCACAATATAACAAGTTGTAAAGTGAAAATGAGTTTTGTAACTCCATTCTGCTACATAGCAAACGATCTACATTAATAAAGAATCACTTACAAAAAAATGGTAAACAGAAATAAACTAGATTCGGTGGAACAGTCTGGTGGTTTCGGCAGCAGAAACTTCTATATCTCTTCCCAGAAGGCAGCAGCGTGAACAGGCTGTGGCTGGGTGGGTACTGTCCTTTAGTATCCTTTGGGCTCTGCGTAGGCACCTCATCCCACCGATATCACTGTTGCACGGGAGATGGATACCAATGATCTTCTGAGCAGTTTTAATCACCCGCTGCAGAGCCCTCCAGTCAGGATGCTTTCTATTGCTCCACTGTAAAAGCTGACAAGAACTTGGTGTGGTAATTTGGCCTTTCTTAAGCTTCAATGTATATAATATAAAGTCTGCTAAAAGTAAGTGAATCTGGATTCCAGAGCATTATTAAACGGAGGGAAACTCAATAATTAATGTATCTTTTTAAATCTAACTTTCTAATTTTGGGCCTCATTTTTTTCCACGCTAGTAACATAACATTTTGTTCAGGTATTCATGCTCCCCAGAGGATAAGGCCTACTGACTTTGTGATCCCCTGAATTCCTGTCATCCCACCAGCAAGTCAAAGTTTAGACTTATTCTGTAAAATATCAGAATAAGTAAAAAACCATCTACTGGATGGGTTGGCACAGACATTCATAGATGGTTGCCAAGAAAGCATATGGTTGGACTTTCAATGAGTGTGTATGTAGATCTCCATTATCCCTCCACTTAACATAAAAATCACCCAATCCACATATAAAGACTGTAAAACATTAAAGAAGGATGAACACACCGTGTTGGGTCAGATGTACGACCAGGCTGGGCCAGTTAAGCCTGATCCCCCACCATCACCAGCTTTTTAAACTGTACTAATTACTCCATTAACTTTCTATAGTTTCTATAGTCAATAAGTTTGCAATCAAAAACTTCTCTGGAGACGGTCAAGAGTCGGTGCAAAAGAGTTTATTCCAAAACAGGACAGATTAACCCATACAGCATCCCAGCAGGCCGGAGGATGGTGTCAATCCTGTGGTCTGCAGACAGTCTTATATATCCCCTTCTGGGCTGGTTTGCCCCCTCCTCTCCTTATGGTGAACTTCTTATCCTCTGCTTTTATGCTGCTTACACAAGTTGTTTTATAAATTGACAATGTTTTCCAGCTGTCATTCATTACTGTATTGTTGATTTTCTATATTTTTACACTGCTGGATAAGAAATTCACCATTTACATTTCAACTTCAGTCTCACCGTATTTTATTCATATAGTTATGCATGCATAATCTGACACACAATTACATTTCTTAAAAGTTAATACAAGAATAACATATGTAATGCTATATCTTTCATTAATGCTTGGTTTCTTACAGTAATCTTGATGTTATGCTGGCTATTTTCTGCTTATCATCTCTCTGCCATGAAAATGATCATCCACTATCTGTCGTATAGGCATCAGAGGTTGGAAGTTGACAATCGACCCCTTAATCAGTAATTAAGCACGTAGTCTTAATTCATAATTAAACATGTAGTCTTAATATCAGCAGACTAACACCTCAACAGTCCCTCATGCAGTCATAACAGCAGTAGACCAAAGCATGCACTTGTCATTAGCAGATTTTGACCACCTGCAGCCTCTCCTATAGTCATAATCTACAGTAGATGACAGTCGAACAAGGCAAAACACCTGCAGCCTCTTCCTGCAGTCAATCTAACCACAGTGAGCTTGTTTCTGTGTTCATGACTACAGTTCACTACTTATAAGTAAAAAACAAGGCACATCTAGGTAAAAAGAAAATGATTAAGAAGCACTCAGAGCTGTAGAGTTTTAACACTGTGATCTTAACTTTACACTATAAAATAACACTTTAAATGATGACAATGTAGACCATCATCGCTATAGTAATTAATGATAACAATTTAGGCAATAATGCTAAAATAATTCACAACCACATTTACATGACAGGTTAGTTTATAATTGTAATTGCTAATGCATGTGCAGTTTTCATTTATTTGAATTAACTTTAATATTGCTCTTTTAGCAAGTCAGGGACACAGAAGAGAGCTAAGTACATGATGAAAGACTAAGATAAGCTATAAAATGAAGATATAAAATAAGCAAACCCAGCAAACACCATAACTGTAATAATAATCTAATTTGTTACATTCATTAATAAAAACAAATGAACAAAACAATGAAATGAGTGGCTAAATTAGGATGTGTGTGTGTGTGTAGGTAGGTAGACAACTCGATGAAGTTCAAAGTGAGCATCAGAATGGGGAACAATGGGGATTTAAGTGACTTTGAACGTGGCTTGGTTGTTGGTGCCAGATGGACTCTGAGCATGTCAGAAACTGCTGATCTACAGGGATTTTCACGCACAACCATCTCTAAGCTTTACAGAGAATGGTCCGCAAAAGAGAAAATATCCAGTGAGCAGAAGTTGTGTGGATGAAAATGCCTTGTTGATGTCAGAAGTCAGAGGAGAATGGGAAGACTGCTTTGAGATGACAGAAAGGCAACAGTAACTCAAATAACCACTCGTTACAACCAAGGTATGCAGAATACCATCTCTGAATGGACAACACGTCAATATGGACCAACTTCTCTGAAGAATGTTTCCAAAACCTTGCTGAAATATGCCTCGAAGAATTAAGGCAGTTCTGAAGGTAAAAGGTGATCCAAATCAGTACACCAAAGGTGTACCTAATAAAGTGGCCAGTGAGAGTGTTTCTTCAGCTGCATCTCTGGATAAAATGGCGTCTCCAGGACAGCTCTGTTTTTCTCTGAGGTCTTCAGACCTTTGCACAGGGAGTCATGGATCTTCTGCCACGAGTCCATCTCTGATCGCCAAAGTTCAGCTCTGGCTCTGATGAACTTTGAGACTTCAGTCTCGCTGCCTTTGGCCAGACTGATGCTGTCTTTACAGATGAAGAAGATATCCAGACCAAGGAAAAGAGCAGCAAGAGGCCCTTTGACTGCTGCCTGACCGATATCTGGGACTTCTGAGGCCACCCTGGGAACGTTACGTAAGGCTTTACCTTCCTGGGCCACCACCTTTCCAGCACCTGCAATCAGCTCTTCGCTTTTCAACAACTTAAAAGCAGAGGCAGCATCAACAAACGAATCAATCCCTTTTCCAACAGCACCAGCTTTACCAAGGACCTTGCCTACTTCCACAGCCACATCCATCTTACTTGTTTCTATTGTGGTGACAGTTTGACTGCTCACCTTCTCCAGACAATCCTGCAGACTCTGCACATCCTTCATGAAGCTCTGGAAGGCTACGTTGGCTTTGTTTTTTTGTGTATAGTTTACTCCGATCTCTGTGGCTGTGGTGACAAGACTGTTGACCCCACTGGTAATTCCCATCCCTACCCCAGTCATTGTCAGAGCTAGAGACACTCCAGCTGTTACTGGACTTAATGCCAAACCAATGATGGAAAACACACCTCCAACTGCCCCCACTGAGCTGCCTGCCACACTGGAGATCTTTGCCCCCTTATTCATCCTGTCTAGCTGAACAGCATTCTCCTCCAGCTCATTGAGAAACTGCAGCATCCCGGGCTGTCGTTTGCGGAACTCACTGATGAAGCCAGAACATGATTCCTCCTGAAACAAGAACACCATCCGGAAGTCCTGGTTCATCCTGATAGAGAGGAAAGAGAACATTAAAGCTCTACCCATCCCGTACTTCCATTTACATAACCGACCGTCTCTCTCACCCACAAGTACAGCCATCTGCTCCTGACCTTCAAGGCCATTCATAACCTCGCTCCTCTGTACCTCACTGACCTCCTTCATATTAACACACCCACCCATACTCTTAGGTCTTCTTCTTCTATTCACCTCACTGTACCTCCAGCTCGTTTGACCACCAGGGGGTTCAGAGCCTTCAGTCGCTCTTCCCCTCGTCTCTGGAACTCTCTTCCACCAGATATCCGTAACATTGACTCGCTTTCCATTTTTAAATCCCGCCTGAAAACACATCTTTTTAAACAGGCATATCCCATGTGATCACTATTTATCAGGTCACAGCAATCTTTGTTTCCAGTTGTTATGTACCCTGATTTTTATGCATTGTAATTATAGTTGTTAATTCTGATGGCTAGACAACTGGCTCAGAGCATCTCCAAAACTGCAGCTCTTGTGGGGTGTTGATTTGTATTGGTGAATTCCATTCAAAACTGGTCCAAGGAAGGAAAAGCAGTGAACTGGCGACATGGTCAGGGGCGGCCAAGGCTCACTGATGCACGTGGGGAGCAAAACCTGTCCCATGTGGTCTGATTTAACAGACTAGCTACTGAAGGTCAAAATCCTGAAAAGGTTTATGCTGGGTCCGATAGAAAATTTGTTTCTATGTTTGATCAGGTTCGAGTGACTCGTCCCACGGCACTGTGTCAATTTAACCAGCGCTGTTGAAAAAGCTTATTAGGAGTTGGCTAATCTCTTTCTCTGGTGAGCAGGCTACATTTAGTTTTACGACTGTTGTTCGCTAGACAAAATTGTCAGCCCTGTTAAAATGACACAGTGAATTACAGATGCACCTAGCTAAGCAAGCAAGCTAGCTCCACACACGACCATTAGCTCCACCGTCTTGTCCAAATATGGTCACGTCTTGTGCTGCTGGTTGCAAAAACTCTACATGGTGGTGCCCTAACGGCCAAACTCGTGGCTCCAAAACAGCAGTCCACAAACCAACGGGTGACGTCACGATAACTACGTCCACTTCTTACATACAGTCTATGGTGTGCATCTTATCTGGTGAACACATGTCACCAGGATGCACTATGGAAAGAAGGCAAGCTGGTGGAGGCAGTGTAATGCTTTGGGCAATGTTCAGATACAAAAACTTCGGTTCTGCCATTCATGTGGAAGTTACTTGTATGACCATGTATGACCATAAAAACTTGGCTTTAGTACAAACATGGTTAGTTGGATAAACAGCTACTTAACAAAACGCACTCAGTTTGTTTGGTCGGCCCTGTTTTGTCTGATGCAGTCACACTGAACAAGGGGGTCCCACAAGGGTCTATTTTAGGGCCCTTGTTCTTTTTAATCTATATTAACCAAATCTGTGATCATCTTAAATAATCATTGTACCATATATATGCAGATGATACAATTCTATATTCGTCAGTGCCCTCTCTAGATGCAGTACACTCAAATCTTCAGACTGATTTTGTCACTTTACAAAATGCTCTTTGTGATTTAAAATTAGTCCTGAATGCTAGCAAAACCAAAGTTTTGTTGTTTTCTCATAATTCTGCTGTATTCCTCCTATTAAAAATCTAGATGGTGATACCATAGAAGTCGTAGACACATACAAATATCTTGGTATTTGGCTGGATAAAGACCTTAATTTTAAACATCACATCACATATTTGTTTTTTTGTATAGATTGAAAACATGCTTTTCTCTTTCTTCCCGTAAGCAGCTTGTAACAAGTTTGTTTTTATCACAGCTGGACTACGGAGACACCATCTATAGATTTGCATGTCCCACTAACTTAGCTAAACTGGGCCCCATTTACCATGTTGCTTTGAGGAATATAACAGGTTCACCCTATCAGGTTCATACCATTGTACTTTATATACCCTGGCTGGATTGACCTCACTCAATATTCGAAGGATGAAGCATTGGTATATTTTCATATACAAAGCCATTTTAGGAAAATTGCCATCATATATCTACTGTAAATTTATTGCCCTCCAGAACACACACAGTCTCAGGGCCAGTAGCTGGCCGAGGTTTAAAGTGCCCTTTGACCGTACAGAGTCAGGAAAAATGAGTCTGTCCTATTTTGGCCCATGGTCTTGGAATGATCTGCAGCTCAAGTTGAAGTTGGAGTCTCTTATTCCTGTATCCAGTTTTAAACAAAAACGGTCAGAGGTTTTAAACACATCTTGCACCTGTGACATTTAGTCAAATTATGATATGTTTAAATTTAATTGTGATTTTATGTCTTTTTATCTGATACTTTGTTGTAAATAATTTAATAATACTGTTACTTTTATGAATAATGCTGCTGTATATATAATGCCTCATTTGCACCTTGCACTGTGTGCTGATTCACATCTTGGCCAGGACATCCTTGTAAAAGAGATTAAAAATGTCAATGGATTTCTTTCCTGGTAAAATAAAGGTTAAATAAAATAAATAAAATGTACACCCTTTAATAGAGACAGTCTTCCCTGATGGCATTGGCCTCTTTCAGCAGGATAATGTGCCTCGCCACAAAGCAAAAATGGGTCAGGAATGGTTTGAGACAACCAGTTCAAGGTGTTGACTTGGCCTCTAAAATCCACAGATCTCAATCTAATTGAGCATCAGTGGAATGTGTTGGACAAACAAGTCCGATCCTTGGGGGTTCAATCTCGCAATTTACAGAACTTAAAGGATGTGCTGCTAACAGGTTGGTGCCAGATACCACAGCACACCTTCAGACGTCTAGTGGAGTCCATTTCTCGGCAGAAAAAGGTGGTCCTACACAATATTAGGCAGGTAGCCATAATGCTATGGCTGAAAGGTGTACTTCTTTCAAGATGAAAAAATAGGTCTGACAGCTAAAAAATAAAACATTATTCATTTTTAATACTTTATTTTTCTTTATTCTTTCTTTTGATTTCTTTGATTATATATATAGTCTTCTGCCCGATCTTCTTTTTCTAGTTCGCGTCATCTTGCCTACCCGTTGCTTAGGAGTATGCTTAATTGTATTTGAGAAGGACTTCACATGAGCCTCCCTTGGCTTCCTTTTTCCTCTAAACATATAATGCAGATAAGCTAACAACAAAAACAGTCAACACTATTTATAGGGACTATTTGTGCTATAAACTACAGTTCCAATGAAAACAGTGACTTCTGTGGATCATCCAGAATAACCAGGATATTGTTTCTGCCACTCATCTGTGGTAACATTTGGTCCCAAACAAATCATACGTGTGTAATTGCTTACCGGATTTCATCAAGCTGAGTAATGTGAAAAAGCATTCTCTTCATGTCATCTTCAGACAAATTCACATCAATGTCTACCCGAGTTTCAGCAGTCATCTTCAGGCTAAACTCACTGAAGGAGCTGTGAAAGAAAGTTCATTTCTTATTATAGATGTTTATTTTGTAAAATGGGTGGATTATTATGAAGAAATGTCAGTTTACCTTTTCTCTAACTTGTCACAGATTTTCTGGGTGTTCTGAATGTATTTGTCCAGTTGGTAGGACAGCACTTCCACGTTCTGAAGTTTGGGACGGAAGAAGACACTTGCATCTCTTTTAAACTCGAGGAGTTGTGGGCAGATTTGCTGTGCAGCAATGATGACAACCTGAACCTGTTCAGGGCTGATCCCTTGGGGCAGGTGTAACACTTGGTTCTCCTTCTTGAACACATGAAGTGAGGTGACCGCAAGCTTCTCCACTGCATCCAGGAAGCAGTCCAGCTCCTTCAGGCCTCCCAGAGTGTCCTTCACCACAGCAGCCAGCTCTTTCTCCAGCTCCAGAAAGGCCTTACCTTTGCTCATAGCTCTGTCTTTGATGTCCACCATACAGAACATTTCTATCTCCCTCGCACAGATCCATGTAGAGATCCCTTCACAGAATCCTCTTACTGTGTCAATATAGGTGAGTGTATCTGTGGTGTAGCGGCACAAGGCCTCCTGTAGTTCCTTTCTGTAAGACAATACAACATTGTAGATTAATCTCTGTAAGTCTCTGTGATGTTTTGACAACTCAAAACAAATCACTGAACTGTTATTGTCAAGTTAGTAAAATTGCTTAATACAGTATAAATTAATGCATATACAAAATATATATATAACAGATGTTGGAAGACAGGAGGAAATATCCAAAGGTTTGATTTATGCTCAATCATGCGATGTGTTATGCACCTAGCTAAGCAAGCAAGCTAGCTCTACACACGACCGTTAGCTCTACCGTCTTGTCCAAATATGGTCACGTCTGGTGCTGCTGGTTGCAAAAACTCTACATGGTGGCGCCCTAACGGCCAAACTCAAGGCTCCAAAACAGCAGTCCACAAACCAACGGGTGACGTCACGATAACTACGTCCACTTCTTACATTAGTCGATGCACACCATACAGTCTATGGTGTGCATCTTACCTAATGAACACATGTCACCAGGTTGCACTATGGAAAGAAGGCAAGCAACACTATTTATAGGGACTATTTGTGCTATAAACTATAGTTCCAATGAAAACAGTGACTTCTGTGGATCATCCAGAATAACCAGGATATTGTTTCTGCCACTCATCTGTGGTAACATTTGGTCCCAAACAAATCATACGTGTGTAATTGCTTACCGGATTTCATCAAGCTGAGTAATGTGACAAAGCATTCTCTTCATGTCATCTTCAGACAAATTCACATCAATGTCTACCCGAGTTTCAGCAGTCATCTTCAGGCTAAACTCACTGAAGGAGCTGTGAAAGAAAGTTCATTTCTTATTATAGATGTTTATTTTGTAAAATGGGTGGATTATTATGAAGAAATGTCAGTTTACCTTTTCTCTAACTTGTCACAGATTTTCTGGGTGTTCTGAATGTATATGTCCAGCTGATAGGACAGCACTTCCACATTCTGAAGTTTGGGATGGAAGAAGACACTTGCATCTCTTTTAAACTCGAGGAGTTGTGGGCAGATTTGCTGTGCAGCAATGATGACAACCTGAACCTGTTCACAGCTGATCCCTTGGGGCAGGTGTAACACTTGGTTCTGCTCCTTGAACACATGAAGTGAGGTGACCGCAAGCTTCTCCACTGCATCCAGGAAGCAGTCCAGCTCCTTCAGGCCTCCCAGAGTGTCCTTCACCACAGCAGCCAGCTCTTTCTCCAGCTCCAGAAAGGCCTTACCTTTGCTCATAGCTCTGTCTTTGATGTCCACCATACAGAACATTTCTATCTCCCTCGCACAGATCCATGTAGAGATCCCTTCACAGAATCCTCTTACTGTGTCAATATAGGTGAGTGTATCTGTGGTGTAGCGGCACAAGGCCTCCTGTAGTTCCTTTCTGTAAGACAATACAACATTGTAGATTAATCTCTGTAAGTCTCTGTGATGTTTTGACAACTCAAAACAAATCACTGAACTGTTATTGTCAAGTTAGTAAAATTGCTTAATACAGTATAAATTAATGCATATACAAAATATATATATAACAGATGTTGGAAGACAGGAGGAAATATCCAAAGGTTTGATTTATGCTCAATCATGCGATGTGTTATGTAACAGTATGCAGAATCATTTAGAATTGTTGAGTCAACCCTATATTCCCCATGCGATTTCCTGACAGGCAAGAAAATAAAAGGTGTGACAGAACTCATTATCATTCTTCAGTCAGTTAAAAAATGCCCTAAAGGTATGACAACTGTCAGCGCTAAACATCAGAAAGCTACGCTGTGTTCCTGCAGAAGATATAATGTTTGGGGTGAAGGGTTATAGTGAACCCTTTAGCATATGGCGTTTTCCTGGTTTCCTTTGCTGATTCATGTTTTTGTACAAGCTTTAGCTCAACAACTTGTTCTTGTTTTGAACACAACATTCTGTTGAATACTCACTCTCTTTTATTTAGCTCTGATTTTGGTCTACCAACTCCTGAGGGAAATATCTGGCTCTTTAGCTGCAAAGACCCACTATGTTCACCAGCTAGTCTAACTGTCTGCTGTTTGCTGCTGAGCAGGTGGTGTACAGTGAGTTTTTAGAGTTTTTTTTACAACAACAAAGCTAAACAATTTGTGTTTACATGTGCGACTTAGTATAGTTTGAGCCTTATCTTGATTTATAACATATTGGGACATGATGTTTACATGAAACTTGGAAATTCATCTTCCTATGTCCAGGTTTTTGATCTGTGTGCTGTTGTGTCCTGGTACCTCACCAACACCTCCTACCAGGGTACATCACCATGGAAATTTGTGCTTAAAGGCTAACTTGCTCCAGAGCAGGTCATGTTTGTGATAAGGTTCAACATTCAAGGTTTAAGGAGTCTTTATTATCCCTGGGGGGCAATTCGTTGTGCAACAGCATGTAACATAAATAGCACACAGGTTAAACAAAACAACAGCCAGTAAGAAACAAAAATAAATACATACAACACAGAAGTCAACATCTCACACAGAATTATTTAAAGGGATAGTAAGTGATTTTAATTCAATACGCCTTTTGTTAAATTCAGCGAATACTTCCTCATAGTTTGCTAGGTGTTCTTTGTGTGTTCGGAAGGAGAATCCAGTTTAATTATACAAAATATATTGAAACAAAAACCGATACCATTACAAAACTTATTTGATTAATTTACAAGATGCACAAAGTCGTTATTATGTTACATTATAGGTAGAATATTTACATATTTTTCTTACACAATATTTATAATTATGTCATTGTTTATAATTTTGAATGTTGCATGGAATTAATGCCAGGTCTCGGGCACCCATCAAACAGCAACAGTAGAGTACAACACCGGCTGTGGCATGCATAATGAGTGCTGTACTCATCTGTTGGTCATGTTTCTAACTACAACAGCTATTATTAGCACTGAAAGATTGTTGTAATTTTTAAAGTTACATGGCTATCCTAGCCAATCCAGTTTAGCTTGCTAGTAGCAGCTTGTTTCACCTAGAGATATTGGATTATTTGATTTATAGATTATTTGTTGTGACTGACCCTCGGTTGACTAAAACAATCATATTGAGGCAGACACAGTTCAGATAGCTGGCTATAGTCATTCATTTGCAACCAGGATTCAGTTAAAAACATAAAATCTAGATTTAGAGACAAGATAAAATCATTTAAAATAAAAGTCTTACTTGAAAGTGATCTCACATACACATAGGCCTACATGTTGCGATATTCACCCTCTGCATTTAACCCATCCCTCAATGGGAACAGTGGGCAGCCGCTGTGCAGCGCCCGGGAACCAACTCCAGATCTTATGTCACGGTCTGGTCAATACACTGACTGAAGAAACCTAAAATGTTTTTTGAGCAGTCATGATCTGACTGTATGCTGCACAGAACATGAGTGTGAACAGCGAAAGTGAAAGGAGTTACTTGGCTGAGAAGGTGGAGGCTCTTTATCTAGCAGCTCACTATGTCTGCTTCTGACTGTTGAATTAATCACTGCCATATTTCAAACTGGCCCGCTGTCAGAAAACTGTTGAAAATGACGGTTGTCTTGTGCATTTTTGATGAATGTGAGCGGTCTCACTTCCAAAAAGATTTCATTTGCTGTGACTACATCGATATAAAACTCAACTTGTGAAGCTGCAGCAGCATGCAATAGTTTACAACAGTTCTTTCACAGCTTGCGCAGCATGATAAAGATGTTGTTCTGTTGCACTTGAAGCCAGAGCCGTTAAATAAGAGTGCTCGCGATATTTTCCTTGCAGTATTTTTTACTCAGAAACGGATATGACTAAAAAGTAAAAAGTTTTTAAACAAAAAGGTAAAAGTAAAATGACAGATTTAAGAAAACTAGGCAACTTAAAAGTAAAAGTAGGCTACAAGTACACAAAAAACTACTAAATTACAGTAACGTGAGTAATAATTCATAACTTTCCACCTCTGGTCCTGTTTCTACTTCACTATTGATAACATGTTCAATTACAGTCTAATAATAGCCTATTAATAATGGTACTATAATTCGAGAAATATTTGTAGCAAGATCAGGGTCAAGAAAAAGTCACAACTCATTCCAAAGATTCCAAATGTTTACCTCAATGCAGACATGTTTCCTCTCTCCTCTTGGTATGCCTCCTATAACAGCCTTGTTAAAATATTAATAAAAACAATAGAAGTCTGATCTTTTACGATGTAGGCTATCTGCAACTCTGTTAAATCTGCTAAAATCACCAAATCACCACTTGGTGAGCAATTTTGTAAACAAATCTAACTTTTCGACACACGGCTCTGCGACAGTTTAGGTTTCACTTTCTCTAACTCAGTGGAGTAACATCCCTACTGTACCGCGGTGAAGTTAGTTTTAAGTTGGATATTCGACAGCCATTCACCCAGAATCCAGTGACGGCTTTTTAGTCAGTTCACCCAGTGATGTCACTGTAACTACAGTCCCCTCCAAAAGGCAAATTCCTTTGTTTTTGTTGTTCACTGAAGACATTTGGGTTTAAGATGAGTATATGAGACAAGAGAATTTCAGAATTTCATCTTTTATTTCCTGGTATTCAGGTCTAGATGTGTTAAACAACTTAGGACATATCACCGTTTTATATTTAATATTTGGTTACATAACCTTTGCTTGTAATAACTGCCTCTAGCCTGCGACCCATCACAATCACCAAACTGTTGCATTCTTCATTTGTGAAGCTATTCCAGGCTTTTACCGCAGCTTCTTTCAGTTCTTGTTTGTTTCGGGGTGTTTCTCCCTTCAGTCTCCTCTTAAGGAGGTGAAATGCATTTTCTATTGGGTTCAGGTCAGCTGATTGACTTGGCCAGTCTAAAACCTTCCACTTTTTCCCCCTGATGAAGTCCTTTGTTTTGTTGGCAGTGTGCTTTGGCTCATTGTCCTGCTGCATGATAAACTTCCTCCCGATTAGTTTCAATGCATTTCTCCGTAAATTGGCAGACAAAATGTTTCTGTCCACTTCTGAATTCATTCTGCTGCGACCATCATCAGTTACATCATCAATAAATATTAATGAGCTTTTTCCAGTAGCAGCCATGCAGGCCCAAGCCATGACATCACCTCCACCATGCTTCACAGATGAGCTTGTATGCTTCGGATCATTAGCAGTTCCTTTCTTTCTCCACACTTTGGCCTTTCCATCACTTTGGCAGAGATTAATCTTGGTCTCATCAGTCCATCAGATTGTGTTTCACAACTTTTGCGGCTCATCTCTGTACTTTGCATCTTGTGGTGTGGCCTCTATGTTTCTGCTCTCTGAGTCTTCTTCCAACAGTGGATTGTGATACCTTCACCCTGCACTGTGGAGGTCGTTGCTGATGTCACTTACTGATGTTTTGGGGGTTTTCTTCACAGCTCTCACCATATTTCTGTCATCAACTACTGTTGTTTTCCTTGGCCGACCTGTTGGACGTCTGTTGCTCAGTACACCAGTAGTTTCTTTCTTTTTCAGGAGATTCCAAATTGTTGTGCTTGCTATGCCCAATGTTTTATACAAACATTGCATAAGTATGCTTAGTTTGATGAGTCTCAATTTCAGCTGCGACTTTCAGATGGTAGGGTCAGATTTTAGTGTAATCAACATGAAAGCATGGATCCATCCTGCCTTGTATGAACGGTTCAGGCTGCTGGTGGTGGTGTAATGCTGTGGGGGATATTTTCTTGGCACACTTTGGGCCCCTTAGTACCAACTAAGCATCATTTAAACACGACAGCCTACCTAAGTTCTTGGGCGTCTTCAAGCCGCTGAAGACATTACTGAAATGGTAAGAGGTGATGCTGTCCTTTGGGTTTCGCATCACTTAAATGTTTATTCTTGAATAAGCATGGAAGCTTTAAACACAAGTGTAAAGCATAAATCTATATCTAATAAAATACTGCAGCCACAAAAGAAAATGACGAGGCTAAAACAAGGGATTTGTGCATCTCTGCTAGTCTTCTCTACCTAAAAGCCTCGCTCCTTTGCTGCAGAGGGAAACTTTTAAAACCTTTAAGGGACTTTTGGGAAGCCGCTGGTGGTCGATGTTTGTATCTCGTCTCAATGAAGCGTTGTTTCACACTGCCTTGGTGCTGGTAGCCTACTGCGGCTGCTGACGTCTTATCTCCCCATGCTTTCTCTGTTGAGTCACCGCTCTCTTTGTCACCAAACATTTGTATTGGCACCAATTTGGGCACAGGGGTGAGACAAGGTCTAGTTCAAAGCACTCAAAAAACAGCACCACAAAATAAAACATGGAGAAGTCCAAAGCAAAACAATAAAACAAGCCATGCAAAAAATAATAAACTCTACAAAACAGTAATTGCACAACAGAAAATAAACATGGGCACAGTAAAACCAAATCACACAATTAACAACATGCACCAAACACAAAATAAATGTACAAAATAATTATTTTTACTTGACTGGCTCACATGAGTCAACAAAAAGGACTACTACTGTATTCAAGATAAACTAGTTGTCACGAATATACTATATCTACAAACAAATTATAAATAAATGATTAAAATATAACCAAAAGGCCACCTCTATGTGGTCCGACTTGGCCTCTACTTACATCAGTAATTTCATGGGTCCCAGGATAAATCTGAGGGGTTGTGAGTTAATGAAGACTATAAAAACATTTAGATAAAACAGAACACAAGTCATAATGCATAGACATTTTTAACAAGTGGCATTGCTTTGTTTTGGAGTCATAAGCCAAAACGATTTTAAGCACTGGTCTACAAAATTCAGGATGGAACACTTTTAGTTTAATATTGCATTTACACAATTTGATCAACAGATGTCGCCAAAGCACACACAATTTCACAGTGACAAAAGTGACTGACTGCAGTGGGTTTAATGAGTAGTTAGTTCAAGGTGTTAGAAAACTTTATTTTTGCCATCATTATTATATGGCAGTATTTCGCATTTTCATTTAGGCATAATAATTTAGAGTATTATATGTTTTAAACTGGAAAGAGTTTTTAGTGATAAATAATAATAATAATAAAATGACTGGCATTGTGTAGCCTGCAGTGGTGTGTTGGGGACCTGGACAGCACAGAGCGGAGGAGAAAAATATTAAATAAAGTGCTTAAGACACCATTAAGACACCACAGAGGAAGTTGGTGTGAGGAGGATGTTAGCCAAGTTGACGTCAATCACAATTTTCACCGCCTGCATGAGACTGTGAGGTCCCTGAGCAGTTCCTTCAGCTACAGACTGCTGCACCCACAATGCAAGAAGGAGCATTACTGCAGGTCCTTCATTCCAGCGGCTGTCAGACTCTTCAACACAGCAATGACATAACAAAGCACTGTTTGTCGTCTCTGTAATATGAAACTTTTTTGCACTATTTTATTTCTGTACTATGCAATTACATGTTATTTCTTATTCACACTGTATTATACCTGCAATGTAAATCCATAGCCCTATTTTATAGCCTATATTAATGTTATACTATGCTGTTGTATATACAGTATTCTGTGCTGTGTAGTTATATCTATTTCTACAACCTGCAACTAGTTCCTGCTGCAACGTGTGCCATGTTCCACAACAATCTGTAGATAAAAGGTGCATATAGTGTACACCTAAACCTTACACCCTTTCCTTTATTTCCTGGGTTCAGACTCTTTAGATTCTCAGAAATATTTCTCCTCTCAGCAGTGGTTTTAACTTCCTTCTTTGGGCCTTATCATGTTGTCTTCACGGTTACAATAACTATAGAGTGTTGCTTTAGTTTCAATTTTAATTTTTATATCCTCAGTATCTCCACACCACCGTTTTCAGGAAGTGGTTAAGAGTTGATTAGTGGCGCAGAGTTCCGCCTGCACACCAAAAGCTGCATGCCACTCACAATTTAATATCATCTTCTTTGTTGTGTTCATCAATGATATAATAAATGATAAGTCAAGATTGTGAACGTTTCATAATTACAATTTTTTTATCTCGGCAGCTCTAAAATCAATAATGCAGCCCCCCATTATATTTTTCTAGAGTCAGTTAAGGATAAATTATTGTAACATACCTTTATTTATGTAACATGTACAGATGGACTGCGAAAACCAGTTGAAAGTGCTGATGTGGGGCCTTCATACAATATTTTATTCATGTCTATAGACCATACATTGTTTCTGAATATGACTACGGGGATTTACAGATTTACAGACTGAAAGAAAAAAGCAGTTTGAGTTAGGATTACCACTTTACATGTAAATACACTGCATTATAGTGTTGCACGGGAGATGGGTACCAATGATCTTCTGAGCAGTTTTAATCACCCACTGCAGAGCCCTCCAGTCAGGATGCTTTCTGTTGCTCCACTGCAAAAGCTGGCAAGAACATGGTGTGGTAATTTGGCCTTTCTTAAGCTTAAATGTATGTGTCATTTTTTTCCACGCTACATAACATTTTGTTCAGGTATTCATGCTCCCCAGAGGATAAGGCCTCCTGACTTTGTGATCCCCTGAATTCAGTCATCCTACCAGCAAGTTAAAGTTTAGACTGTGGTGTATAACATATGTGCATTTGACCATTACAGTTTAAAATAACACTCTAGCAGCTGGATAGAGGCTCAGTGAACTCTTAAGGGGGAGTAATGATTGATGGGTGTGTAAATAGTGAACCCTCCTTTGGAATTTGACCTCTGACCCAGTGATAGGGGGAGTAGTGATTAGTGTTTATGAAGGGACTGGACCCTTATGTGGTATTTAGCAGATACCTAAACATGTCCTATATAAGCTGTGTTCGATGTACAGAGAGACAGAGTGGCCATCGGGCTGGGTCACTCTCCAAGCTGCTGCAGAGCTTGTAATTGATGCTGAATTCCTTGATGTAATAAACTTTTATGATCAAGAACAGTGTCAAGCGGATTTCTTCTCAACACATCATCGCAGCATTATTGTTCGGACACCACAGAAATTGGCGACCACGAAGGGACCGTGTTGTGCCAGAATTCATCGTTCCATCACAGGGCACTGTCGAGCTGACTCCCGCTCCAGACTCTGGCGTATATGGTGAGTTTTCTCATAAACTGTGGGCGCTGGTCAGTTCGTGTGTGTGTGTGTGTGCGTTAAAGGGTACACCGGTTCGATCCCGTCTGAATGCTTGCGGGTGGATGTGTGAGAAGACTCCGTTCTAAATTTTGTGTGCGTTGTGGATAACGCAAAAAGGGTGTGTGTGTGAATGTAATGAAGACAGATAGATAGATATAAAAGGAAGAAAAAGGAACAGCCTAGGAGTAATGGGAAGTGAGCTTTCATAACTTTGCAAAGATTAAGAATATGGGCCCTCAGATTCTTATAAACGTAAGTCATGTGGGATGGAAACTACTGTCGCGTGAAACTATAGGCTTTAAGGAATAGGTCAATTGGATGAAGGGAAAAAGAGAGAGAGTGTAACCCTGGCCAGGGTCATTCGGCTTGAATAAAAAAATTAATAAGGATAAGGAAGAAAATATAAGGTTAAGGAAAAGGGTAATATAAGGATTAGGACGCCGCAGATCTGGATAAAAAGCCCTTGAAAGGCGATGTTAGATGGGCCGCAAATCCTGGAAAGGAACTAGGTGAATCTTCGGGTCCGTTCAAAGGAACTGGGAGCTTGTAGAAGAAAAATTTAATTGTAAGTTACCTCTCGATACATGTGTTGACGAACTATGTCCGAAGTGGCCTCTCATTAAATATCTGCAAACTCGAGGTAGCACAAATTTAGGAAGGAAAATAATAAAGGAAAAAGGTGCGGCGGAAGCATGCTTTATAAACAGTGTGAAGAAATGCGTTGTTGTTGACTGGATAGCTACCGTGTGTGTGTGTGTGGAGAGGTGCCCCTGCTGTGTCTCGGTTGTGTGTGTGAGAAACAGGAGAAGCCTAGTGTGTGTGTGAGAGACTATGCAGAGGACGGTAAGGCTAGGATTAATGAAAACATATATAGGAATAAAGAAATAGAGAAGGGAATTTGATCAAGGGGAAAACTGTGTTTTGAAATTTGTTAAAGTTATTGATTAATGCTGCTGTATGGTTTGGGTCATTTTATAATCAGCAGTTGGGGTTTTTCTTAGCCTAAGTTACTTTTTTGGGAAGCGCACATTTGTTTTTTCTATATTTTACTTGCATTTAATTTTTTTTATGTGTGTAAATACATTTTTTAGAAGGCATTTTCATTGGTATTGAACCACAAGCTATAATTCAGAATGTTTTCAACAGAGTAAGCTTTAAATAGGAGTGAAGAGTGGTGTCCCCAGCATCCCCAGTTTAAATGACACCGAAATTCCTTAGCTTGAATGTGAACGTATTTATGTCAAAAAGTTAGGCAAAATAGATTATGATTACTCAGAGAGTTAACACTCTTATTTTTGGGGGAAATAACCTTGTGAGTACATAAAAGGACTAAAGTGTTGTTTGCCTTTTTTTGGTTTTTGTTCTCCTGTGGTCTGAGAGACAAGAAGGAGAGAGAGAGAGAGAGAGAGAGAGAGAGAGAGAGAGAGAGAGAGAGAGGGGCTGCCGTCCAGCGCGCCACAGCAAAGCAGCCCTGGATCCAGTCTGGCCAGTATTGTGCAATCCACAAACTCTTTACAATCACCTGGCTGATACACATTTAGTTTGTTTCCTTTCAGGATATTATAGACACATTTGTAACAAAGAGAGTCTATTTGTGTATGCCTGCCATATTTCATGTTATGACTATCTAAGGGGAGACTTGGCAATGGACTGATCAGTTACTGTATTTGAATATTACATATTGGAGTTTTTTTGTGCAGGGGTCGTTTGAATTCAAGTTGTGTTGGGAATTCTGGTATTGAGCTTTTGGGATAAAACTAAGGTGAGTGGGTGCTTATTAGGCAGGAGTTGGCGTTGTGTGATTGCTGGATAACAAGATTTTTGTGATTGCTCTGGAGTTGACAAATTCCCTTGATTTTTCATTAGCGGATGTGGTAAGATTGCCACCTATCAACAATTAGGTAGAATTAAAAGAAAAATAAACAAATAAGTAATAATAAAAATAATTTACAATAAAGAAATATAAAAGAGTTGTCACTATGCGGAAAAAGGACATTAAAACGTTGAAAGTAACTACTCCGGTTGATGTAGTACAAAGAAATAATCCTCTAGTTGATGGTATTGTAAAGTTATCTGAAAAATGGCATAAACGTTGGCCTAATATTGAACAACCATGGCCTGTGGAAGGGACTCTTAACCCAGGTGTACTTAAAATAATGTAAGTACTTGTGTCCACATATAAGTCGGCTCAAAATAAGGGGAAAAAAGGGGGAACGACGTAAAGAAAAGAGACGAAGAGAGCTGGGTGTTCTTAAGTTGTTTGAACATGAAGGTCAAAAACTGATGAAAGATACACAAGAGAAAAGGGACAGAGGTGTAGAGAAAATGGCAAAAGAGGCAAAGATAACAGAAAAATTAATGGCAGAAGTCAACACACCCTTCTCACATACAGATTCAGCAAGAAGACCTCCACCTTACGAGGAGGAAGCGGAGTTTAAGGATGTCTATCCTCAGCTTCCAGTGATCATTGAGGAGGGTGATTATTGCATCAGAGATGAAGAGGAGAAACAACTATAAAGATGAATCCAAGCTCCAAAAGTAAGAAGAAAATGACACGTTTGGAAACTAAGGGTAGAGCGAGGCTTAGGAGAATGGAAGATGATGATGAACAGAGTGATGTAGAAGAGATCATGGGTGGATATGATCCTGTGATCAGACGGAGGCTGGCCAGAGCGGAAAGAAGGGGTGATGAAAGTTGGAAAAAGAAGGATACAGGAGATCAGATCTCTGATGAAAGTGAAGATGGAGACAGCGATGAAGAGTGGGAGATTAAAGGTGCTTCATGTTCAAGAGGATTCATCCTCCAGTGACTACTGAAGAAATAGAAAAAGACATGGATCGATGCATATCATGCTTGGAGAAGTCGACTTATCCAGAAGAAATAAGAGAATTGGAAGAACATCTCGAGAAGCTGACAATACAGAGGGAGAAATTGAGGAAAAAAGGGTCCCAAAAATTGAACAGAATCTGGAGTATAAGCCTTTGCAGAATACCGATATGTCAGATATACTTGAGAAGTTGCCTATTCTTCAAGATGGAGCACATCCTTGGATCTCGAAGTTGGAAGAAATTACGGTAGGAACACAAACTGCCATAGGAGATATTAAGAGACTTTGCTAATCTCCTGAGGATTCCAGGTATGGAAGAAATTTTTCAGAGAGCTGGACTTAATCGATATGTGGGGACTGCTGTAAATGATCCGGAGTTGTTCGCTGCAAGTAGGAATCGACTGTGGAGAACACTGAAAGACACGTTTCCAACAAATGTGCATCCTGACAATATTTTGACACAAGCCTATATGTCGAGAGCTCATCAGGTGTGGAGAAATATTACAGGAAATGATCCAGAGGCCAGTCGAATGGAGCGGTCAATTTTGCGAGCTAAACTACAGATGGGGCTGCCCCCACCAGTAAGGAGCAAACTGGCAGAGGTGGTTGGACTTGGAAGCATGGCAATAGGAGTCTATACAGATCATATAGCCCATCAAGTGGATCTATATAGGAAAAAGGAACATGACCAGAAAGAACAGGGGTGTCTAAGGGGACCCCCCAGGTCCCCTTAGACACCCCCCTTCACGCCACGGGTCTAAACGGCCAGCCTCTCGCCATCGTCACCCACCGCACTCCTCAGTTATCTCTTCTCTCTTCCGGCAATCACCACGAGTCCCTCGCCTTCCACCTGATCTCTTCCCCTGCCGCCCCTCTGGTTCTTGGTCTCCCCTGGTTATCCTCCCATAACCCCTATATCGATTGGTCGCGGGGGAAGATCAGGAATTGGAGTACTTCTTGCCATTCCTCGTGCCTCCTGTCTGCCCGAGCCCCCGGTGATCCGGTTCCCCCGGTCTCTCCTCCGCTCCCTCCCGACCTGTCCGGGGTCCCCGATGTCTACCATGATCTGGCCCCGGTTTTTAGCAAGAACCTAGCTCTGTCACTACCCCCCCACCGCCCCTACGACTGCTCCATAGACCTCCTCCCGGACGCTCCCCTCCCGTCCAGTCACCTGTACAATCTGTCGCGACCGGAGAGGGAGTCTATGGAGCAGTACATTAAGGACTCCTTAGCCGCTGGCATCATTCGCCCTTCATCCTCCCCTCTTGGGGCGGGTTTTTTTTTCGTAGCTAAGAAAGACAAGTCCCTCCGCCCTTGTATCGATTACCGGGGGCTCAACGCCATTACCCTTTTGTCTGGTCTCCAGAGGCCGCTGCAGCCTTCTCTCGCCTCAAGTCCCTGTTCACCTCCGCCCCCGTCCTCACCAACCCTGACCCCTCCCTTCAGTTCGTGGTCGAGGTGGACGCCTCGGACGTGGGCGTCGGCGCCTGCCTCTCCCAGCGCTCCCCAAAGATAACAAACTGCACCCTTGCGCCTTCTTCTCCCGCCGTCTCACCCCCACCGAACGAAATTACACCGTGGGGGACCGAGAACTGCTGGCCGTTAAGCTGGCTTTAGAGGAATGGAGGCACTGGCTTGAGGGGGCTAAACTCCCTTTCCTCGTCCTGACCGATCATAAGAATCTCTCCTACATCCAAACTGCTAAAAGATTGAACTCCCGTCAAGCCCGGTGGGCCCTGTTTTTTGATAGGTTCAACTTCTCCCTCTCCTACCGTCCTGGATCCCGTAACACCAAGCCTGACGCTCTCTCCCGACTCCACTCCCCGGACGCTCCCCCGAACTCCCCGGACACCATTCTGCCCCGCACCTGCCTCATCGCCTCTATTGTTTGGGAAGTTGAATCCGCTGTTCGCCGCGCCCAGTCCACTGAACCCGGCCCTGGCCTCGAGCCTCCTAACCGCCTCTATGTCCCGTCGAGTGTCCGCTCTCAGGTTCTCCAGTGGGCGCACGCCTCCAGATTCAGTTGCCACCCCGGGATGGCCCGCTTAAGCGCTCCTGGATCCCTGCCAGTCAAATCCTGGATCCTTCCCTCCTGTCCGACTTCTACCGGGCTCACCCAGACAAACCGGGGGGTCCGCCTGGAGGCGTCCGTTGAGGGGGGGGGCCCCTGTCGCGGTGGCAGCCCGGCTGTCGGTGAGTGTCCTGTTTCTCCTTTCCCTCACATTCTGGTTTCCCCTGTGCCTCCTCTCTCTCTCTGTGTGTGTGCTCTGTCCCTCCCTGCTCCGGAGCCCGGCTGGCTACCCACACCTGCACCTCGTTTACCTCCATCCCCGGCCGCCGCACCTGCCAGCCATCAGCCTCATCACTGCCAGTATATCAACCCCGGCTTTCCACTCCACCCTCGCTCGATCGTCGCAGCTCTTGACCTGGTGTCGCCGCTTCGTTCTGGCTTTATTTCTTATACTCCTTTTGCCTCTTGTCCTCTTGCCTACTAACCCTGTCTCTGTGTTTTTCCCCGCCAGGTTCACTCACCTCTGCCTCCCAGCTCGGCCAGCCGGGCTCGCTCGCCTGCCTCCTCCTCTCGCCGCCTCCACGACACCCCCCCGGCTTCTCCACTCGCACCCCGCCTGGCCCCCCGTCTCCGTGTCCTCACCTACCCCCCTAGCCTCCAGCCTTGTGCCCTCCGTTCCTCCAGCTTCTCGGTTCCCCGAGTCCTCGTCTGCCTCTCCCCCTCCTTCCACCTGCCCTCGCCTCGAGCCTGTTTTTTTCCCTCAATAAACCTCTTTTTCACCCTCAGCGTTGCGTTTGGGTCCGTTCTGTCTCCCACCGTTACAAGAAGTTCCGGATCCACATACTTTGTTAGCCCAAATTTCTCCTGATGCAACACATTTCACGGTGTTAGATTTGTGTGGTGCATTTTTTTGTGTTCCCCTTAGTATAGAGAGTCAGGGTTTATTTGGATTCACATATAAAGGACAGTTCGCATGGACACAGAAGCATTTCTTATTGTCAATAGGAGGCTATTCGTAAGCCTCCAAAGCCTAGAACTGTCAGAGAGATGTTGACGTTTCTCGTTATTGCTGGTTATTCTTCAGCATGGGTTGAGGATTATTCTAGTTTGACGGGACCTTTGAGAGCTATGGTTAAGGATACTGGGAAAGCTCAATTTCATAGCAATCTTTCCTGGACACAGGAAGGCCTTGTGGTATTTGAAACAATCAAACAGAGGTTACAGGAGGCACCAGCGCTCACACTACCAGACTACTCTAAGAATTTCTTGTTATATGTATCTACTTCCACTGGAGGTAAATATGCATGTGCAGTCCTTTGTCAGCCGACGGGTACAGGGTTGAATCCTCAACCTATTTCCTATTATTCGACTGCATATTCAGAAGTAGAATTAGGGCTACCACTGTGCTACAGAGCAATGGTGGGAGTTTATTTAATTTATGACAAAGCATCATCTGTTACGAGGGGTTACACAGTAACAATTCTTACCCATCATAGTCTCAGGAATCTGCTGAACAATGGAAAATACACATTGACTATGCCAAGGCTTAGAGACTACCATAGGCTCTTAGAGCAGGAAGATGTCACCCTGGTAAGGTGTGAGACGGTAAATCCAGCCGAGAATTTGCCAACGTCAGAGGATGGTGAGCCACATGATTGTGTTCAAGAGGCAGAGAAATATTCATGGCTTAGATCAGACTTGCAAGCCCTTCCACTACGTGAGGCAGACCTGGAGTATTGGACTGATGGGTCTTGTTATCGTGTGGGAGATAAATTGTGTGCTGGCTATGCAGTAGTAAAAGCTCAAGGAACTGGATTTGTTGTTGAAAAAGCTGAAGTAATACCACAGCCTGCGTCCGCACAGCTTGCAGAACTTGTGGGGCTAACAGAAGAGTGTTTGTTAGCAGATGGACAGCGAGTGACAATATATACTGATTCTGCATATGCACATAATGTATGTCATTTGTTTGGAGCAGTGTGGAAAGGTCGGGGGTTTAAAAAAACAGATGGTTCTCCGATACACCATCACGCACAAATAATAAAACTGTTGCATGCTATGTTGAGGCCTAAAGAGATAGCGATAGCTAAGTGTGCAGCTCATAAAACAGATGTGTCAAGAGTGACACAAGGGAACAAAGCTGCTGATGAAGCTGCAAAAGCTGTCACAGGAGCTGACAAATTGGGCAAGGTTTTTCTGGTCACTCATGGGGTGGACTTGGAAGACAAAATTAGTGATTTTGATGCAGGAAGCTGCTTCTATGATTGATAAACAGTTATGGTTAGACAGAGGTGCTGTTAAGGATTCTACGGGTCTTTGGAGAAATCACGAGGGACTGATAGTAGCACCTCTGGACCTGTTAGGTCTGATGATTCAGGAAGCACATGGGTTAGCTCATGTTGCCAGGGGGGAGGTTAGGAGAAAAATCACAAAGGAGTATGGTTTTTGGGCACCATATTTGCTTGAACAGATTGATTATGTCGTAGGCAGGTGTACAATCTGTCTGAAAAATAATGTCCGCAGGGGTGTGACTGTTCCTCCTGGGTACATTCCCACCCCAAGGGGTCCTATGCGTGAGTTAGTTGTTGACTTTGTCGATATGATAAAACCAGTTGAAGGGAAAAGATGCATGCTAGTGGTTGTGGATAGATTTTCACGATGGCCGGAGGCCTGTCCAACCAAGCGGAAAGACGCTCAGTCGGTTGTGTAGAGAGGTCATAAGCAGGTGGGGACTTCCAGATCGAACATCGTCAGATAATGGGAAAGAGGTTTGTGGATAAAACAGTGAAATTGATTTTGCAAAAATTGGGAATTAAACAACGTCTTGGAGCAGTTTATCACCCACAATGTCAATCGATTTGTGAAAAAATTAATGGAGTTTTGAAAAATCGTATTGTTAAGATTTGCCAACATACGGGTCTAAACTGGATAGCGGCGCTCCCTTTGGCGTTAATGGTGTGTCGCTCAAGTGAGCTGCGTGATTTACGTATAACCCCTCATGAATTGGTCACAGGAAGACGGATGCCTAAACCTTGTTTACGAACAAGTGGCAAGGGTCCAAGTTTGGCTCTTTTAGAAGACGAAATGAGAGCATATGTCACATACATGGCCAATTTCCATAAAAAATTATCCACATATGTTTCTGACAGGCAAAGGAGAGAAGAGGTGCAGGAGAAGCTCGATGAGCAAAAAAGGAGCACAGTGCAACCTGGGGACAAGGTGTTCGTGAAGGTCTTTAGGAGGAAGTGGTATAACGAACGCCGTGAGGGACCATTTGAAGTGGTTCGTAGTACTGGAACAGCTGTCCAGGTTAAAGGGTCTCCAACGTGGTATCATTTATCACATTGTGTTAAAGCGCCTAGGGAAGAGGTGCCACGAGTGGACAGCCAAGATGGTGAAGGCTCAAGAGAGCCGGATGACAATAGGGAAGAACAGGCAGAAGGAGAGATGCATGACGATATCCAGAACCAAAACCCAGAAGGAGATATTGTCCATTCAGTGGACAATGTTGATAATCATGTGTACACTTCTGATGATGCCAGATATGACTCTGCAATTGATGGAGAGGAAAGGAGATTTGGGGACATTGATTTTCAATATGTCCCAGAATCAGCAGGGCCTATTTCAGTGGAAGGTGAAACCGCAGAGGTCACCAAGGGCTACACCTCTGTTACAGGAGAAGCCAGTGTTCCACTTAGACAAAACAGCCCCAGACCAGTTCGGAAAAGAGTCAGACCAAAACGATACGAAAACTAGAATTGAAGTACCTCTAGGAAACAACAGTAACATCAACACTTCAGCCTGGTGCAAGAGCAGTAAGAAGCAACTCTACTCTTGTATCGTCAACAGTCTCTAAAAGTATAAATGTGACACATTTGACTACAGTGGCGCCTCAGATGATTTCGCCAACGCCAATGTCATTGTCTACTGTGGTTAAGGTTAAGTTTGGAGGTTCGGCATATCTTCCTTGTAAATGTGAGAAATGGAATACGGGTGGTAATATGCCTCCCAAGTGGATAAATAGTCGCGGTAAAGATGTGTTGTTATCAGGACCGGAGGGTGTACCCCCTAGTCAGAGAAAGTATTCTCTGCTTAATGATATGAGGCGGTGGAAAATTGTCGGTGATTGTTCACTTGTTTTGCGTAATCCTACCTGGGAAGACCTAGTGGAATATAGTTGTAAGTTATAGCAAGATTTTAAATTTGTTCCGTTTCAAAATCATTGGATACAAGGTTATGTGACCCGTAAGGTGACGCTTATGATGAAAGATTTAGAGCCTGTTGAAGTGTCAACAGTCACCAAAGGAGTTCAGGAGCAATATACTACAGTAGTCACTCCAAGAGTGAATAATACAGAGAACATTTGTCATTTGGCCCTTGGAAATAACTAAAAGAGTTAATACATCAACTAATGTAATTGTTTTAGCAGAAACCTTGGAAGAAATGAATGTTACAGTGGCGATAACAACCATTGTAAATATGACACAGACACCGACTACAACTTTTTGGGAAGTAAAGGATTTGGTAAACGTAACTCAGAAGCCGGCGTTACAGATGGAGACTGGGGAGCAAAGAATGCAAGAAAATGATGAAGTTTCATCTGAAACCGTTCAGAATATTATCCCACATGTACAAAAGGAGTTCTATACTTTTGATAAAACACCAGAAGATATGACTGATCAATATCGCTCGTTACGGAAGAGGGAAGCTACATGGAAGGCATATGGGTTTGATTCTTCTGTTTTGAAAATTACAGATGGCTGGGCAGGTAGGAATTTATGGTTCCAGCAGTTAACTCATTCTGTAAGATCAGTTAAGAAACTAGATGGTCCATGTCTGTTGAAAGTCCCCGCACCAGGCACATGGGATTCAATTTTAGAGACAGTGGCCCAAACTCTATCCGTTATGTGTCAATCTTATGCTTTATCATGGCTGTCGTATCAGCAACAATTGTCAACAGATATAGTGACGTCTTGGTCGTCGCAGTTGTTTAGACCTAGACTTAATTGTTCTTGGATAAATGAATTACCCTATGTGAATTTGTTAGATCAGAAGGAAAATAAGTTAACAGCAATTCCTGAAGCAATGGAGGTAAGACCTGTGAGGGCTAGTAGCTGTTTTTGCTCAAATAAGACATATGATGGGCCAGGGATGTTTATGGGAATATCAGAATGTGATGAGTATATGATGTCTTTGGATAAGCATGACCGTAAGGTTAGAGAAAACACATATGAAGTAACTTTTGCTGTGCCATCTAGTAAGAAGGGAAGGACTTTGATGGTAAGAGATCAGCTTTTGCCTGGCAATGTGACTATAGGGAATTTTCAAGATATTTGGTGGATTTGTGGTGATAAGGCATATATATTCTTACCTTATGGATGGATAGGATGTTGTTACATGGCGACGCTAAAACTTCCATATGAGGTGTTTACAATCCATAAAGGGGAACCAGCTGCTATAGCTCATTCTGATCCGGGTTCTGGAAATAGGGTGAATAGGAGCATGGCACAATTTCATAATCTTGAATCCTACCATTGGAGGATAAGTCTAGGCGAGAAGTGGGGTCTTGGACTTTTTCCATGGTATGGTGTAACATTTTTGGCAGATCACATTGATAATATTACAAGGGATTTGCAAATTAAACTATACGAGGGTTTAATCTTCTGTCAAATACTCAAAGAAGTCACAGACTGACATTGTTGAAACATGACATGGCTCTCGACTATATTTTAGCCAAACAAGGTGGTTTGTGTGTGGCTATGAACTTGACGGGGGACGGTTGTTATACTTTGATCCCCGATAGTTCTGATAATATCACTAGTGTTGATGATTGATAGATGCATTAAAGAGTAAAAGGGATGCGTTTGGTCAATCTGAGGGAGCTGGATGGTCAGCAAATACTTGGTTACAAAATCAGTTAGGACCAGTGGGAGTAGTGGTGGTTCATGAATGAACTCTGGACAAGGACAGTGTGGAAACGTCTGGATTGCATCGACACTACACTGCTGAGGAGCTGCAGTGGAATACCTTCCTATGTCTGCTTTGATATAGATATGAATACATATTTGAATGAATAATACTTAATTAACAATCATATTCTTTTTGTGACTTACACTTTCAGGTATGGAGTTAATATATGGGGACCTCAGGTTTTTTATTTTTCTTGATGTTTAGGGATATAGGGTCTAGGCAGGGACAGGTCCGTTGGAGGGTCCGATGGGTTGACTAGCCTGAATTCGGGCATTGTTTTGATTTGTTTCATTTCCTGAGGTTTTCACATGTATTGGCTAAACCATATCTCTGCATTGACTGATAAAGATGTCTTTGATTAATTAAACTGGAGTACCATGCGTGGCCGCCTAAGGCAGAGGGGCTGTGAGAAAATTTTCCTGTCTAGATTGTCTTGGAGGGCATTTTGGAATGAAGGCTGCCGGACAGGTTTTTCGTTCTCACACTCCATAAAGTTGATATATTGTTAAAAATAATATTGCAAGAAGCAGGTGTTGGAGAAATTGTTATCTCTTTTTGTTTTTCAAGACTCAACTAAGTCTTGCAGGGGGGAATATGTGGTGTATAACATATGTGCATTTGACACATAACAGTTTAACATAGCACTGTATCAGCTGGATAGGGGATTAATGACCTTTTAAGGGGAGAGTAGAGGTCAGTGGTTATGTGGAGACTCAGACCCTTATCTGGTATCTAACAGATACCTAAACATGTCCTATATAAGCTGTGTTTGATGTACAGAGAGACAGAGTGGTCATCGGGCTGGGTCACTCTCCAAGCTGCTGCAGAGCTTGTAATTGATGCTGAACTCCTTGATGTAATAAACTTTTATGATCAAGAACAGTGTCAAGCGGATTTCTTCTCAACACATCATCGCAGCGTTATTGTTCGGACACCACAGGAGGCTTTTTAAAAATCTTTCATTAATGTTAAGATCATTTTATCCCTTAATTTTACAATAAAAATACATTGAGAATATAAAAGGATGTTTTTACAGTGCCTTTTCAACTTGCATTAGTGAACTGCATACAACAGGGCTCAGTGTTAAACTTTTTTGCAACTGGCCCACCGGGTCAGTGGGTTTGAAACTTACTGGCCCAAACACAGTTTTTACAGGCCCTCCATCCAAAAATTATTTATCAGTGTTACAACAAAACCAAAGACTTTTAAGTTATGTTATACTGTTAACATGTTTAATCTGTTAATAAATACATTGTGGATATAAAATTTTTTTAACAAAAAGGTAATTATAAAAATAGTTAAAATTATAAAAAAAATAAATAAAAAGGTAACAGTTAACCAAACATTTTACTTTTACTTTTGACGTGCTCTCTCTCCTGTTGACAGTCATCTAATAAACAATTTACACAGAGCAGCAGAAACTAGTTGCTTTGATCCAGACTGACAGGCTGGAATGGTAGTGACCTTTCAATCACAAGGTAGCTCCGCCCAAAAGCATACACTGCATTATTGTCTTTTTTCCTCTAAAAGGAACCATAATTTACTAAATTAACATCATGCTGGCTTGAAGAAGACTTGAAACTAGCGACTGAGACCATAAACTCATTAGGAAAGGGTTTACTGAGGTAATAAATCAGCTGAGAAGTAGCAACATTTTACCATTATTTCTAATGCAACCGGGATTCTTTTTGCAACCAGCGGATTCGCCCCCTGGTGGCCGTTATTATGAATGCAGGTTTAAGTTCCGTCTGCAAAGTTGCACTTTCAGACCCAGAGATTCCGCTTGATTGAGATTAGAGAAATAACATTTGACAACCACTCGTCGCGTAACTACATATCTGGATTGGACAACGGTGCACGCCATGAGCTGTTGATGATGATGATGTTGAGTTTCTAACTGTTTTTTAATACTGAGGTGCTAGTTCAGCTGTCCCAATGTCACTTTTTACTGGCCCCGGGCCATTAGGCCACTGTTATTGTTGAGCCCTGTACTGTATTCCGACTTGTACAAATCACCAGCAGTAAATATTGTGCTAGTACTAGTATTGAACTACAAGAAGCAAGACAGTTGCAAGCCTTTAATTATGTAAAGCTTTTTATGGGACAGTTAGGTCCTAGAGACGTGGTAACAACAGCTGCGCAGAGGGGGTCCAATTTGATTTTTATTGTAATGTGGCCCAAAATTCCTGGCCTCCGAGAATCTTAAATTCTCATTGTCTTCCAGCAACGTACTTAGCCATGTTCATGCGAACCTTCATTGAAGTTACTTATAGTTATCAGACCGTTTAAGTCACGCAACTTTGAATTCAGGGACAAGCAAGTCTCTTTTAAGCTTTATTTCTGTCGAATCAACGTTAACCTAACTCCTCCCAGAGACAACGAGTTGGAGGCCAGCCACATGGGTTAGTTACCCCAGCTGTAACACAGAGGACATCAAACAATGAATCGAGCCAGGGTTAACTGTCTATCACTGCAAGAGTTTCTTCATCACCAGTGAAGCGGGCGGACCCCTGGAATAATCCCTGGCAGAGCCGAGCCGTATGGGATACCAAGCCGCTGTGAACGCAACAACCAGCAGCCAACGTGGGGCCGTCTGAGTACAGGGCGTCTGACAAACTCAACAAGAAGTACGACAAAACAAACCCTGCACTCTGTGATCAAGTGATGTCCTCTAGCTTTTAACCATTTTGCTTTAGCTTAGCTCCTTTAGCCTAAACTCCTAGCCAAATTTAACTTAGTTATGATCATAACTTGCGTCCATTCGTCTCCTATTCCCTTAGAATCTGATTTTTTCCCAGACCAACTAAATTCAAATTGAACTCCATTATTCTCATTGATTGCATCCTGGTTGTTTAATCATCATTGTTTTTATGTCTTTGATATATTTAACCTCCCTTTATATTCACTTTACTTAGTTAATAAATTTCACCTTAATCACAGGAACTGTGTGTGTGTAGACTACTGTTTAAATCCAGGTCACTGGACGGAGGATTCACAACTTTGATATGAGACTGACTGACTGATTAAACTGATTCAAAATGATTAGCAATTATTAACTAAGTGATCACTAGTGAACAATTGTGTAATTATTATTAATTATATATAAAACCATACCCAAGGCGTCCTGAGACCTCAGGCAGACAGAACTCAGGTGGTGCCCCAACGAGTGTTCACGACATAATATTTCTGAACATTAATATTAAATTCATTAACAGTAAGTAGGTTCACTACACATGTAAATACAACTAGCATGGTACAAGAAACACTGATGTTTGAGTTCTGCAGTTTTCACACCAGGAATGATTTGTCCACCACTTTGGTCCTGACTGAAAGATCTCAACCTCTTGGACTGCCATGAAATTTTGAAGAAACTTATTACACATATCTACTAGATTGATTGACACAGAATTTGGTTCAGATATCCATGGTGCCCAGGTGATAAATCCTAAAGATTTTGGTGTATGTGGTGAACAATTCTCATAAACCATATGACTATCAAGTGACTAATGAATACTTTCCAAATTTGCATAAAAAATATGGATATTACGTCCCACTGTGCACACAAATGTGTAATTTGTACTTTCACATGCTAAATGCCCTTTAAAAACCATTTTACCACAAGCTGAAATTATGGCTGTCAGTAGTACTTTGTATTTGTTATATTTAAAAAAAAGAGACATTTTGGCAATATTTGCATGCTTATCTAATTAAGCAAAGTGAGAGGAGCCTTGATTCTCACCTGCCTATGCCTTTGTAAACTTCATGTATTATGTGGTTTATAATGGACTGTGGTGCAGAAACAGTGAGGCTTACATTGTCCTGTTATCTGTCAGTGGTTGTTACATCCTCACGTGGCTCAAGCCCAGAGGTGGAGAGAAGAGTAAAAATAAATGAAAACCGGGTCTAAAGACACAGGAAACAGATTATGTGCAAACAGATATTTATTAACAGACGCTGCAGATATAGCTTTTAACAAAAACACACAACTAGCAACTTAAATTAACACCACATTTAACGCCTTCCCTCTTCCAAGGGGAGTATGTGACCCCACATCTCCGCTAGTCCCGAGCACACAACTCCACTCCTGCTGCACCCAAGCACGCAGCCATCTGACCCACTGGTCAGCAGCCACCTAAGCTGGTCCCCACAGGACCAGTCTCACACGCTGGCCTCTCAAGACCAGCCACATTGTCCTACTGCTGAACTCTCCTTGCTCTCTTATCCTCCAGGTACTGATTGGGGGATCAGGTGCAGCTGCTGCCCATTACTAATTGCAGCTGCACAGCAAGAAGGGGAAGGGCAGTACCTGGAGAACTACAGGAGAAATACACACCAAAACACAAGACCCACGGCTCTAGGGCCGTAACAGTGGTCATACTTGATGCACTAGATGTGATAGTTTTTGAGATGTTCTTCATTTACTTTGGTTAGTCCATATGAGCCAACCCTCCCAAGATGTAAAATACTGTATTACAGGAGTATGAGACATCATGTAGCACTTCATTTCTTGATGTGGCTGTTGTTTATTAATGAACAAAGAACAATAAAATAAATAATAAAAAACATATGGTTTTACTGAATACTTAAGTAAATATAATTTTTAATATATCTATCTAAAGAAACCTCAATTCTTGACTGGCAACTCTCCGCTATCTCATAGATGACATCTTTGTCCTGTCTCAGGCACCGTAGCTATACTACTAGCTTGGATAGGGGAGGGGGGGTGCAATTCGCAACCCTTACCACTAGATGTCACTAAAACTTACACACCGAACCTTTAAAGAATGAGGAACACGGCAGATTTACATGAGGTTACTGTTTATTATTGTAAATGCTAATGCATGTGCACAGAGTTTTCATTTATTTGGATTACTTAACTATAATACAGCTCTTTTATCAAGTCAGGGATGCAGAAGAGCTTGGTGAAATTGGAGTTACAGAAAATGAATCAAGATAACATTGTAAAATTTGCATTGCAACAATAAAACATTTTAAAGATGAGCAGGATAGGTACCCCAGCAAACACCATAACTTTGTAATGCCTGTTCTAAATTGTCTGTAATGACAGCAAACATTTAAAAGTAACGCATAATATATGATGATAAAGGCATTGATAATATAATTAGGGATCGACCAATATGTTTTTTTCCTGGCCAATCCCAATTATTAGCAACTAATTAGACCGATGACCGATATTTGGAACCGATATACAGTTGCTGTAAAATTTTTAATCTTGGTGTCAAAATTTAGAATAACACAAACTCCAACAATAAACTTTGTTGAAAATAACAAGATTGAAGTTAATTGTCATGTTTTATCTTTATAAATAGCAAATAATATTTGTACCCTATGAGTGATAAATTATCATAAACTCAGGGATTAAAGTTCTCGGACTCTGTGCCGGAATTCCGGCTCGAGAAGTTTTTGTATTCGACAATATATAAATATGTCTGTGGGAAATATTCTTGCATATTTTTAAACTGGCGCATGTTATGTGTGTGTGCGTGTGAAGCGCCAGTCTTCCTCTGCGCTACTGGTGGCTCGGCGTCGGTGTATACACGAAAGAAAGGGGACTGGCACTTCCTGGCTACGTGGACACTCATTGGCTATTGTGGGCCGTTGACAGAAGCGTTTTTTGTTTACATGCTAGCTGTAGTTAGGCTAACATAAAGCTAAGCAATAGCAGTCCGTGTGTATTTATTGTTATAATAATGTGTTTTGGACTAAATATTTTATTGGATTGGATCGTCTGGACCTTTGCCAACGTAACAAGGCAATTTTTGTCAGAATATAATCCACTGGTGGAGTACAGCTTCACAGATAACTGGTGTCAATTTTGATAAGTGCTTCAAGTGGGCCATCGATACCAGTAAGTTACTAATACATTTTACTCTTTGGCGTCCTCTGGTTTCTTCAACTTTCACTCAGGAGCAAAAATCAGCCTTATAATGATTTGACATCATAAGAATAATCGATATTGAATGATGTGACTACAAACAGAGAAAGGCGGCTGCATCAGAGCCAAAGGAGCGCATTTTTTTATTAATTAATTATCTCTGCTATCTGATTTTAAAATGAGCGACGCATATTATTGGAAAAATGCTTAATATCTGCGCTAATAATCAGCCAGGCCGATTATTGGTTGACCCCTAAGATTATCTCAAAATAATGAGATAATCTGTAAATGTAGATTTAAGGTTAACAGCCAACATACAATGATTCTCAGATTAAGTCTTCACTACTAAATGTCATATGCATATATACTAAAGAAATCTTAATCATAGCAAAAGTTAAAGTATATAAAATCTGACAAGGAACAAAAGTCATGCTGGCTATATAATCATTAAAAAATGTTAAGAGTGAAATGGTTTATGTCTTAAGAATCGCAGCTAAAAATTCCTGAAAGACACGCTGGAATGATTGTGGATGATCAGTGGTTTTCTGCTGTATGCAGGATTTTTATATAAAATGGATCTAAACATAGTTCAAAGACAAGCAAAAAGGCACAGTGAGCATTGCCACCGCTGCAGTAGACAGGATTACACAAAACCATTTTTCTTTCAGTTTTGCTTCTGTTTCTGCTTCTGTTTCTGCTTCTGTTTCTGCTTCTGCTTCTGTCTCTGCTTCTATCCTCAGCTCCATCTCTGGATAAAATGGCGTCTCCAGGACAGCTCTGTTTTTCTCTGATGTCTTCAGACCTTTGCACAGGGAGTCATGGATCTTCTGCCACGAGTCCATCTCTGATCGCCAAAGTGCAGCTCTGGCTCTGATGAACTTTGAGACTTCAGTCTCGCTGCCTTTGGCCAGACTGACACTGTCTTTACAGATGAAGATGATATCCAGGCCAAGGGAAAGAGCATTGAGTGCAATGAAAAGACCCCTGGATGATTTGGAGAGGGCAAAAGGCCCTTTGACTGCTGCCTGACCAATATCTGGGACTTCTGAGGCCACCCTGGGAACGTTACGTAAGGCTTTACCTTCCTGGGCCACCACCTTTCCAGCACCTGCAATCAGCTCTTCACTTAGCAAAGCAGAGGCAGCATCAACAAGCGAATCAATCCCTTTTACAACAGTAAAAGCGTTACCAACCACCTTGCCTACTCCCGCAGCCACATCTCTCTTACTTGTTTCTATTGTGGTGACGGTTTGACTGCTCACCTTCTCCAGACAATCCTGCAGACTCTGCACATCCTTCATGAAGCTCTGGAAGGCTACATTGGCTTTGTTTTTTTGTGTAGAGTTTACTCTGATCTCTGTGGCTGTGGTGACAAGACTGTTGACCCCATTGGTAATTCCCATCCCTACCCCAGTCATTGACAGAGCTAGAGACACTCCAGCTGTTACAGGAATTAATGCCAAACCAATGATAGAAAGCACACCTCCAACTGCCCCCACAGAGCTGCCTGCAACACTGGAGATCTTTGCCCCCTTATTCATCCTGTCTAGCTGAACAGCATTCGCCTCCAGCTCATTGAGAAACTGCAGCATCCCGGGCTGTCGCTTGGTGAACTCATTGATGAAGCCAGAACACGATTCCTCCTGAAACAAGAACACCATCCGGAAGTCCTGGTTCATCCTGAACAGAAGAAGAAAGAGAAAATCTCTAAGATAATTATGATCTGCTTCATTTTATAATATATTGTAGTCGCACTAGGGACTACCATATCAGAAGTGCAATAATGTAATGCACAGCAGGGTTTATGACAGGTAATTCTCATTAAATCATGATGTTAGTCTTGTAATATTACGACTTTTTTTGCCAACATATCAGAGAACACAAATATGTGGGATTCTGAATGTGCAGAAAGTTTTGACCATGAACAGAAAACCCGCTGAAATACAGGAGCTATTAAAGTCCAGGAGTTTATAATGAATTAATTAAAATGAAATAATTTATCATTGAGGTGCCGCAAGCACATTTAAGAGGTGACACCCCGTTACAAAAGACACAAAAAAGGAGGAAAGACTACATCATGCCTGCATGTGTGTTGACTCAGCAGGGATGATTTTAAATGACAAAAGGATCTAAAATACATATTCAAAAGCAATGCAGAATACCTGAGAGCCTTCCTGCATTAGATTATAGTTTTTATATTTTAAATTGTCACATGCCGCCTGAATTTTGTGTTTCCCTTTATAAAACATTTCAACAGTGGTGCTTGACCTACATGCTCATGCCAGTATATGAACATGCTCACAATGACAATGCTATCATGCTGATGTTTAGCAGGTCATCACCTTAGCTTAGTGCATTAGCATGCTAAAACTTGCTAATCAGCACCAAACTCTTTTATAAACAGTCTTTGCACTAAACAGAATGTACATATCAGGCTGATGGGAATGTTCTGCAGGTGTTTGGTCATAAAAGTATTGGACAAACTAAACCTTTGACTGGATGATGGCAATATAGGAAACCAAAGTCATTAGGATTTATCCTAATGAGATTAATGCAGTGTGTATGAAATAGTCTTTTAATATAAATCATGCTGATTACATTAATATTACTATAAATAACACCATGCACAAATGTGTTGCCATGATATGGCAAAAACACACAGGGATAAATTCTTACCTGATTTTATGGAGCTGATTAATGTGACAAAGCATCCTCTGTATTTCATCTTCAGACAAATCCACATCGAGCTCTACCAAAGTGTCAGTAGCTATCTTAAGGCTAAACCCACTCAAAGAGCTGTGAAAGAAAGATGAATTTTCTATTATAGATGTTGTTTATTTTGCCAGAGTTAGGTGTCCATAAGTACACAATGGATAATTATTAGCATGAATATAAGACAATTCCATCAATTTTCTGCCACCACAATGAAGTTTACCTTTTCTCTAACTTGTCACAGATTGTCTGGGTGGTCCGAATGTATTTGTCCAGCTGATAGGACAGCACTTCCACATTCTGAAGTTTGGGAAGGAAGAAGACACTTGCATCTCTTTTAAACTCGAGGAGTTGTGGGCAGATTAGCTGTGCAGCAGCAATGAGAACCTGAACCTGTTCACAGCTGATCCCTTGGGGCAGGTGTAACACCTGGTTCTCCTCCTTGAACACATGAAGTGAGGTGACCGCCAGTTTCTCCACTGCATCCAGGAAGTAGTCCAGCTTCTCCAGGCCTCCCAGAGTGTCCTTCACCACAGCAGCCAGCTCCTTCTCCAGCTCTGCACGCCTGCTGTCTGCAGTCACCTGGGTCACCTTGCTCTTCATATACTCCCATATAGCCTTACCTTTTTTCTTTGACTGGGTAACATGGCTGATGTTCAGGTCAATTTTGTCAGCCCTGTCTTTGATGTCCTTCATCATGTCGAACTCTGACTTCCTTCCAAGCATCCATTTAGAGATCCTCTTGCAGAATCCTCTTACTGTGTCAATGTAGGCGAGCGTATTTGTGGTATAGCGGCACAAGGCCTTCTGTAGTTTCTTTCTGCAACACAAATCATCATTCAGTTAGTGACATTTTAAAATAAGTTCAACTTATTCACTGAACTGTTGTTGTGGAGTTGGACATTTTACCCAGGGCTGTGACAGTGCAGGAGTAAGATCTGGCAGCAGCCACAAGCACTCACTATCGCTGATAAATAAATTAAATAAACTGATGAGCAGTTAGCATTTCTTGGTGGAAAGTCACAGAGCTCAGTTAAAAGTATGTCTTGATTGTGTTTTCTATGGAAGCCCTAAGCGGCCATCGATTCAACTATTTTTTTTATTCCATTTTTTTGTGATCACGGGATAATTATCTTGTGATCTTTAGATAACGAATGTTGTTTTTCCCGTGATAACAAGATAATTTTCTCCTGATCTCGAGATAACAAACCATAGATGCATACAGGGGTCGGTAGGTGCATTTTTTATGAGTAGCAGCCTGGCCAAAATTTAATACTTCGCTTGCACATACATACATACTCGCTTGCTCACTCGCATCCTTATGGAAGATCAGCCCACTGTTAGTTCACCTTAAGAAAAGGTATTTTGGTATGTAGGGTTTCGGCATGTCTTGAAACGTGTTGTTAAAGTTATAATCCTTGAGGTTTTTATTAAATTAAATATATTTTAATACTTTTTATCGTTGCATTTCGTTTGTCCAGTAATACAGAGTTTTTTGACCTACAGAGTCTACCTTAATAAAAACTGTGGTATAAATTTAGGATCCTTAGTTATTTTATCTGATATGAGCATCGCTGATAACTGACGGCTCTCTTACGGCTGTAGCAGAGCTTTATTAAGTTGCTAATACAAACCCAATTTTCCTGTATTTGTCTGTTTGAATCGTGCAGTGTCAGAATAATTGTTGTTCATGCTGTAGGTTCCTGGTTCAAATCCCAGTCATGACCAATTACTTTTCATTTTTTGCAGGGATAATAGTGACTGCCAAATAAGTAAATGTACTTTAACTCATTCTGAAACTCGCACATATTTACATATTAACCTTGCACACATAAATACTCACCTCGCGGATGCACACATACTTACAAATGAGTAAGTATGCATGTATGTGCAAGGAAGTATGTATGTATGTATGTATGTGCATGACAGTATGTATGTATATGCGAGCGTGTATGGATGGATGTGCAAACGAAGTATTCAATTTTGGCCTAGGTGGCTTCTCATAGTTTCTTAAGGGTAATTTCAGAATGGTTTTCGGTGTCACTGGTCTCTTAATAGTAAGTATCTTCTAACCAAATCCAATCCAAAAGTTCTTGTTTTTGCCTTCATATTATAGCTGCACAGCATACTGAGGCACTCTAATTTTTCATTAAAATACAGTAGCATTAGTTAAACAATTTAAAAAAGGTGAGACCAGCTCTTCTGTAAGAAAATGTAAACTGCATCTCAAATATTTTTTTTATGTTTTCTATAATATTGTGTATAGTGTGGTGTAGTATTTCATATATCTGCACAGAGGAGTGTCAGTGTAAATCTGCTGTGGCAGGAAGCTGTGAGACACAAAACGACAACATATAGACACTAAATGACCACAAGGAGATGCAACATGACCACACAGAAACATAAAATGACAATCTAAATATGGTATTTAAGATAAACTAATTGTCACATCTGCTATACTTAAAATAAACAAAGTATATATTGATGAGGTTTGTGTAGGATGAATTCACAATCTCCACACTCATGGACTTTGAGGTGTGTTCCCTTAATAAAGGGTTTAGGGCTGTCCCACTGTCAAATCTTATTAAACCCTTTATGCACACTTGTATGTCCACATCAATGCCTGGGGAAATAACTCACAGTCCATAGCATTATAACGTTAAACATGGGGTTGCTAGGGGAAGCCTGTGTAAATTAAAGGTAAACAAATATGGAAGGTGCAACTACCAGAAAAAAGACATTTAGGCTACTTGTAAGGAAACTGATTATTTGAAAAGTACCTCTTGTCCACAGGTAATTTTAACAATTAATTGTTACAATTGACAAGAGCCTGGAATACATTCAAATCAGACAGTTGATCCCTTGCACACCGTTTCAAGGAAACATGTGACAACAAGTGAACTGACTAGCTAAATGAAAATGTCTCACCAAAAATCAGGGACTCAAAAAAGAAAAAAACTGTGTACAGAGAGAACAAGAAAATGAAATGAACAAAGAGTCGAAGGCCATATTTATGGACAAAAAAATTGTATCTCGTACTGTTCATGTCTTGCTTTGCTGTGAATAAATATTATTAAATATAAATAAATATTATTTCATTTACCTTTTGCGCGACATCAGTTTGTCTTCACTTGGCACGCTGGCTTTAACTCCTTGTAGAGTCAGCTTTTAGCTGTTTGGGAAAAAAAGAAAATATATTTTTTAAGTGGTTTAAGAGTTTTTAACATAGGTATTTGTTTGTTGATAATTAACTATTAGTATTGAAAAGCACTGGGTGAGGAACCATGTATGGCAAAACTTTAATATGTGCGATTCACTCATGTAGGTTTGGTTTTGCTTTTCTCTTAATCTACATATGAACCACAACCAGCTCAGTTTTTTGAGATTTCTGGAGCTTTTTGTCTGAAGGATGGTCACAATTTCTGGGGAAGCCAGTGAAACCATTCAGGTGAAGGATTTAGTAACGCCATATGATAAACTTCAACATTTGTAAATTAAATACAATTAAACTGATATCATTGATTTTCATTGTGTGCATTTATATACATTTATGAAAAAATAATTTATTTCATTATTTTCTGAAAAACAGCAACAGCCTCCAAAAAACTGATTTTGTTAGCAGCCATGCACAAACTCTCAAAGCTCAAAACTCTCAAAGCATGATTTGTTACAACAAAAAAAAATGTACTGCAATATACACTAAATTGTCAAAAGTTAAAGGACACACCCCGAATCATTGAATTCAGGTGTTCACTTCCACTTGTGAGGCTGCTGTTGTGAATTATTTTGGAGCATTATAACCTAAATTGTTATCATTATACTAGAGCGATGGTGGTCTACATTGTCATAATTTAAAGTGTTATTTTATAGTGTAAAGTTAGGATCACAGTGTTAAAACTCTATAGTTCTGAGTGTGTGTGCTCCTTTCTGTATCTAACTGGCTAGGCTCAACAGTAGCACGTGTGTGAGTGAGCAAGCACAATGGGATAGCAAGGCAGCATCAAAAACTGCAAAGGAAAATTGTATTACAAAACATCAATATAGTCCATCACAGTAAGAATGTCCTGTTTCTAGCACGGAGCACAAACAACACCAGTTTATTCCACAAAAGTCAGTTCATTTTTATGAATAAATATTCATATAAAATAAAAAATGCACTCAAATCAAATATGAAGGGGTGTGTCTCATTTACCTAGTGCAGTACTACAGTTCGGCATTGGTTTGAAGTCCCTGTGTCACATGACTTGGAAGCTATTGAAATAAATAATGATTTTCCCATAACACTGTTTTCACAATTGTAATTTATTGATGGTCCCTAAGCTAACCCCCGTTGGTTAAAATCGAGCCATCAGAGGTGAGCTAACCGCACTTATACAACCGTCACTGGGTGAACTGACTAAAAAGCCGTCACTGGATCCTGGGTGAATGTCTGTCGAATATCCAACTTAAAACTAACTTCACCGCGGTCTTTAACCGCAAAACATTTCCACCATATTGGTGCAGAAACTTTCACCACAATGCAGGAAATAAAGATATAAATTATCAAAGTTTCCCCCAGACCTCCCACTCATATCTCAGCAATGAGGATATATTTAAAACATTATTTAAAGATCTTTTCGTCTCGTTTTAATGAACCTAATGGTGTCGCGGTATCGCGAGCTAAGTGTCTCGTCACACCCCTAATCTTATCCCCTATGTCCCCACAACTTTTCAACACAAAGTGATGCCCTTGAGTTCTACAATTCAATATAAGCAACAATCCTGCTGTTGCAGTTAAGCTAATAATGCTACGTTCACTTACCAGGTACCGTTAGGACAGCATTGGGTTCGTTTTCTGTAGTTTCTGTAACTTCGTGTTATCAGCTGCAGCGGCAGCGGCAGCGGCAGCAGCTTCAGGAGCAGGCTTGTGAAAACGCGGAAAGAGTAGATTGCGTTTGCTTTCGTTTCCACAAGATCTCCTTTTAACCCAATACCGTAACCAGCTATGAGGTCCCCGAGGTCCGGACATCCGTATTAGACTACTTCTCTCGCTCAGGATCAAACGATAATTCATGTTCTGTGTTCTTCTACACATCCAAAAGTTCTCACACACAGTCCAGGTTCATACTGTTTGGAGTAAAGCAGTCGTCCTCCTGAACAATCCTGAGCTCCATCAGGGCATCCACACATGAATTTCAAAAACTAAAAACTGTTTCCTCTGCAAAGTTTTCCCTCTGTATATAAGTTTATAATTTTATCAAGTTTATTTCTGCTTAAATGTCCCACAATATTTGCTGTGACATTACTGTGCATGTAACGTTAAAAATGACTGACAGTCCCCTTTCTAATCATTGAAGTAAATCAGTAAAGAAAGCACATCAAAACAACCCAATATAGAAATCACCTGCAGCTCCAGGGACCTGTCGAGTTGGGCTAAATCTGAGAAAATAATTAATTTGGTGAGGAGCCAGGTGAATTATGTAGCCTATGCATAGGAAAATGTCAGAGCTGATCCATCACACCAATTCAGCAGCCATAATTGTGACAAAACGAGTGCAAACAGCTGCTGACTTCAAATAATTAGGCTGTAATATCAACAATAGCATCCTCTGCATTCAGCACTAACCTGCTGTATTTTATGTGTTCATATAATATTAGTTTTTTTTATTGCTTTGGTAGCCTATATTATCGCAAGAATGTGGTAAAAGTTCACAACTCTTGTAAAACTCTTTACACTTGAAATTAGCAATATAATTATGATTATATAATCATGTAGTGTATTTTATATTACTGTATTGTACACACTACAATTATTGCAGTGGTCCTTTGTGGCTCTGTTTGTTATTTTAACGATAGAGAATAAAATCTTAAACATTCTGCATGTAGCCTTTGTATGAACACAGGGGCGTAGGAGCGACTTGGAACGTGGGGGGTACGCAGAAGGACTAGGAGGGTTCGGGTGCATACCCCCCCTATTTTTTTTTTAATAAAGCATTTAAATGCTCATTTCTAATCTAAAGAGGGTATTTGCCGTGACAAAAGATGGAGAATAGACTGGAGAGGGGAGATTATAAAAACTCAGGTGCAGTTTAACATAACTTGAACAAAACCGACTACATACTATAAAAACCATGGAACAGCTGCTAGTTAATGTAGCCGCAGTACAGTTGTATTTAGTTATCCTAAGATATGTCCTGTGTCTCACTTGGCCCTGTTTGTGAACACAGAACTGTCTTCAATGCAAACTCTGAAGACATGCCAATGACCTAACAAAATCCTTTACTATGTGAATATTACAATATACAGTATATCTAGTAGATATCCATACAACTTACAAGCTCATCCTCCTTATTTTTTCTACTCCTACTCCTGTGACCTCTGACCTCTTCCTCTTAAAATACTTTAGGATTCTCATCTCTGTGTGACAATTTTGACTACTTTTAAATTGTTTATGGACATGTAGCAGTGACACATACACACCTCAGGACACAGGGTGTTATGGTCAAGGACAGGGGCAAACAAATGGCCCAGGAGTTTGTCCCTGGTCAGACAAAGCATTTGTGGGGGCATTTGTGGGGGCCTTAAAATACATTTTCGAAACTAGAAACTCCTCTCTAACATGAAGATGTAGCCAACCAAACCACTTGCTTTACAGTAGTGCTGGCAGCCCATACAATCTGATTATTCCTAAAGCATCTAAATAATCTTTACAACGCCAAGAATCATTGTGGCAGTAACACAGAGCAGCTCATTGTTGAAGCAGGTAAACCTTCATATGGAGGAAGCTGTGCGTCACGAGTAAAGCCCAACAGGACTGTTTTATCCACCCATATTTTCTCTCTCTCTCTGTGCATCTAAAAAACTAATGTTTGGTGAATTAATAACAGCTGGTAGCTGCTGAGTGAAAGCCAAGATTAGTTTCTCCTGCAACATTCTGTTTATGGACTCACCGTCGGACATCGTTAAAACAAATAGTAGCCTAACTGATGTGAAAGAAACAGGCTAATGTCTGTCAAAGAAAGCTCTTTTCAACAACAGGATACTGTAAATATATCAGAATCAATCCAGTGATCATCTGACTTAGATGTTACAGTGTGAGTTCTACATTAGCTCTGCAGAGAGTGAATACGCTTTAAATGCGCCGTTAATGGAAAGTTAAAGTAGTATTTGTTTGCTGGCTTGTCGAAGAGTGACGCAGGCAGCTTTCCAACACGGCCATGGTGTGCGCTCACTGGATTTCTGTTGTATTAGTAGAACAATAAAGCCTTAAAATGAAAAGACACTTACCTGTTTTGTTTATATTTTTGCATCTGCCCAGCTCATTTCGGTTAATGAAGCCTGATGCATGTTACAGACATTATGTAAATTATGAAGGTATCAATGTGAAAATGTGGCGCTATTAACAGTAGTGGCCTAAAGAAAATGCTAGAGTAAAGAGTAAAAGTATAGTTTTAAAAAGGAACGTGAAATTGTGCCAATGACTTTGTTTATTTTATACATTCATTTTGCAAATTTGCATTAGGCTACTAGTCTAACTATCCACCGCTGCAGGCGTCCTCACTACTGTCTTCAGGCTAAGTAACAGCAGCACAAAAGAAAAGTCTGTAATATCAACCGACTGCACCAGCCTGGAGTGAACTCTTTTTTTCCCCCTTGAGTTTTCAGCACCACCTTTGCGTGGTGTCGGACTTTTTTTCAGAGGCCTAATGTTAGGCTACATGTTTTTTTGTCCGCGTTTCAACCGTTTAATCATGTCTGATATGGAGTATGAGCCAACTCCGAAATCGCCTGAAAAAGGTGAGGGGGCAAAACATCAATTTTGAAATGGGGGGGGACATGTCTCATGTATAATGGCTGCTACGCATATGTCTGAACATAATTATTTCGATGCGAAGCATGTGTTTCTACCGAGTCAATGTCAGATGTTTTAGTAGTTAAAAAAAAAAAAAAAAAAAGGTCCTTTTTGATTATCTGTTCTGTTTTTGGTACAGGTAGGATGAATCTTTAGGCACTGCCGAATTAACTTAGTGGAGCATGTTTGATCAAGTGGCTCCAGGAGATCACAGCTGATGGAGGTGCAGCCCGACACCTGCTGGTCATTTTTTGTAAATCCTTTTGTGCTTGCCGTTGGTTCCAAGCCATTTAGAATTGATTTTTATAATTATTGAGAACACTTTATAGATATAAACATAGATAGATCACTCGTTTTCAATAAGGATCACTGCCAGTGTTGAGCCTGACAGCAGTGTTTGGAAATTTGTAAAGTTGGTATCTGTTTGACTTCCCCTGTGTCCTCGGATGTGACTGTAAAATGTTTTGTTATTGATGTAAGATGAATCTCAGCACTTCTTTCCTGCTTGTTGCGTTGTGTGTGGCAACGAGCATCATGCTGAAAACTAAAATTAGTTATTTGGCCTTGCAAACAGTACAGTTGAGTAGCCTGCTGTTATCCTTTGCTTAAACTTTTTTCACCTTTATTAATTTCAGGTAGAGCAATGCTCGTTTTCAGGAATTCCCTGATCATATTCATACAGTTACTCATTACAACATGTTTACTTTATTTGATTGTGCATGAAAAATGTGGAGCGAATAATGCAGATCATACATATTGTACAGAATATATTTTGCATAAAATTCTACTCTGCTATATTTATATGACAGCGACAGCAACTTAAAATAAAATAGTTATTTTACTTTTACATTTTTATCATTATGTTTTAAAACAAGCTTAACAAAAGAATTATAGCTAATTAAGAATTCTTCAGCAATAGATTAGAGGTAGAATAGAAGTTATTCGGTGCTAAACACAACTTTAATACAAGCAGGGTTGAATTTTCATGCATGATTTGATCACCTTAAATGGATTTCATCTCTGAACACACCATCAGAGTTGGGAAAAGGCACATAGTAATCTCTGTTCACTGCACTACTGTATTACACAAAAATGTTTTCCTTTCATGTCTTTAGTCCACTTCATAATTTCATTTCCATTTCACTTTGTTTATTCAGCTCCATCTCTGAATAAAATGGCGTCTCCAGGAGAGCTTGTTTTTCCTCTGACGTCAGCAGACCTTTGCACAGGGAGTCATGGATCTTCTGCCACGAGTCCATCTCTGAGCTCCAAAGTGTAGCTCTGGCTCTGATGAACTGTGAGACTTCAGTCTCGCTGCCTTTGGCCAGACCAATGCTGTCTTTACAGATGAAGAAGATATCCATGCCAAGAAAAAGAGCATTGACTGCAATGAAACCGGCCCTGGCTGACTTGGAGAGGGCAAGAGGCCCTTTGACTGCTACCTGACCGATATCTGGGACTTCTGAGGCCACCCTGGGCACGTTACGAAATGCTTTACCTTCCTGGGCCACCACCTTGCCAGCACTTACAATCAGCTCTTCACTTCTCAACATCTTAGCAGCAGAGGCAGCATCAACAAGCGCATAAATTCCATTTCTGATAGCACCAGCTTTACAAAGCACCTTTCCTACTGGTATAGCCTCATCTATCTTATCTGTTTCTCTTTTGATCACATCGTCCAGACAATCCTGGAGAATCTGCACATCCTTCATGAAGCTCTGGAAGACTTCACTGGCTTTCTTTTGATGTTTACGGTTTATTCCGATCTCTGTGGCTGTGGTGACAAGACTGTTGACCCCACTGGTAATTCCCAGTGCTGTCCCACCTATTAACAGACCTAGAGACACTCCAGCTGTCACTGGAATTAATGCCAAACCAACAATTGAAAGCACACCTCCAACTGCCCCCACTGAGCTGCCTGCAACACTGGAGATCTTTGCCCCCTTATTCATCCTGTCTAGCTGAACAGCATTCTCCTCCAGCTCATTGAGAAACTGCAGCATCCCGGGCTGTCGCTTGGTGAACTCACTGATGAAGCCAGAACCCGATTCCTCCTGAAACAAGAACACCATCCGGAAGTCCTGGTTCATCCTGAACAGAAGAAGAAAGAGAAAATCTCAAAGGTAATTGTGTTATTTTAAAATTCTATTTGGGCTTTTGATCTGCTTCAT